AATGGCCCGCTCGTTGCCGAACGTCTCGTAAGCCCATTTCCGGACGGAACGGATCTCCTTGACGGCAGCGATACCGTTGTTGGCAATCAGAACCTGACCGTGGTTCGTTGGTTAGTGACGAAAATCCCAAGCCTCCCATCTCTCCACACTTCTTCCGGGGCAACTCACCGAGCTGATGACGGAGTGACCCTCATGCTTGGCCACGAAATCCCTGACCGCACTGGGGGGAGCAGCGTCGAGGTGGTTACCACCAATGAAATGTGAGGGGAGGTTGGCGGCTTTGGAGCCAGCCTGGCCGTTGACGGCACCGTTGGTGGCGCTCATGATGCAAAAGTCGGGAGGATTAGGTATTATAGAAATCCCATGCAATGGAATGCAAATAAATCACTCGAGAGAGAGGAATTAAAGGTCGCGGGAGAAGCGTATGAAGCGGAAAGAAGAGGATGCAGGCGAGATCGGTAGGGACGGGGCGCAACGAATTGACCGGCCTGGGAGGAGAGATGGCGATGGAAGGGAGGCGCGACTGGCGGAGGTTTGTGAAGAACGCCCTCACCGTTCTTTATAAAAGTGAAGAATTGGCGGGAGTGAAGAAGGGAGGAGAGAAAGGTTATTTGCAGTTTCCTGAGGCTGAGACAAGGTGAGCGAACCGAGTCAGCTGTCAGCAAACAGTGCGAAGAAGAATTGAAAGGAGGGAGAGAATGCGCGATGCGCCAGGGAGGGGAGGGAAAAAGTAGATGGAGGCAAAATAAAAAAAAATAGAGGGCGAGTAGCAGCTGGAGGGGAGGGAATGGGATTGGATGGGGAAAGAAGTGGGAGGGAGGGACTGGAGCCAAAGTGAAAGTCTGGGTCCGGAACGGAACTTACTGTAACTAAACACACCTGCGAGAGAGTAGTTGGGGAGAGAGGAAAGGGAGGGGAGGGAGAGGGTGAGGGGAGGATGGATAGATGGAGAAGAGGCCGGGCCGGCTTTCAATTGGGAATTACAGAGGAGAGAAAGTGGAAGAAGAAGAAGAAAGAGGAAGGAGAGGACGAGGAGAAGAATGGGGATGCGAAGAATAAATTTAATTGCCAGAAGGAGTAGACAGAGTTGAGGCAGAGTTGAGTTGTTGTACTGTATGGATAGAGGGACAGAGGTACAGAGGTACAGTACTGTAGTAGTAGACTTTACAGTTACTCCCCGAAGTCGATCATCATCATGGAATTGAAGTTGGTATTGTGGTATTGGTAATTACAGCGGAAGGGCGGGCAGTAACTTAGTGCAGTGGATCGGGGATCGGGAAAACTGATTCACTACTCGAATAGCGGTGCGGCCTGGTTTGGATCCATCCAGTTTGTGGTTGTTGGGCCCATGACGTCCCCGCCCTCCCTTTTCCTTTTCCCACCACTTTTTCTGGTCGTCGACTTGCCTTGCCAACTGCCAATTGCCAACAAAAACCCAGCATTTGTCGAGTCAACAACTTTTTCTTTGTCCCTCCGACCCTTGACAGCCAATCCCCGCCCGGAATTCCTCATGTAAGGCACTCCTCGGTACTACAACTTCCATCCACCACCACCACTTTCAATTACTATCTTCCAATGCCTTCCATTCCGTCGATCATGGAACAATGTCTGTATTGTACCTAGTAGTCTGTATTGATTCCCGGTAATCTAAGGTTGAGTCTGGTAAATTACCATCTATTAACTGACGGTCTGTGTGTTGCGGTGTTGCGGGACAAATTCCCCGACAAGTCCGGAGTTACAGATCGCGCCGCGCCCACTCCATCTTCGTAGACTACTCAGTCTGAACGCGACCAAGAAACCGACCGGACCATGGCATCTTATATCACTTCTTTCTCTAGAATCCAGCTAACCTCTTATTTCTTTTTTTTTTTTTTCTTTTTCGTGCACGGAGGATTGCTGTCTTTCGAAACTGTTATAGTTCGGACTGAGGAATTACTCCGACCCTCGGAGCGCCATGACGGTCAGAGTACCTGGAGGAGGAGCTCGGCAGATCCAAGCTTAGTGCTTTACTCTGGGTTACTATACCGGTCCGTGTGAAATGTATTTTGCATGTATCTCCATGTAATGATTCTATTATGGAGTAGGGCCAGCGCTCATGAATCAGTGACGGTAGACCGTGCCAACGGGCAGCGGCACCCCCCCCCCCAAAAGCATTGATGTATTATCATTGATTCAAAAGCGGTGGTACCTGAGCACTGCAGCCGGTCAGGAAGAGAGAGCCCGACTTCGTTCTTGATGTTTTTTTCTCCACAGAAACTCCCGAACGGGGCCATCCCTGCTTCTAACCTGTTTGGGAGTCTGTTGACGCCCCACCCGTCAGCGCCAATGGGATCGGCAGCAGTTGTCATCGCGTTGGGGATCGTGGGAAGTCACGGGACTGCCTTCTCACCAAATTCATCTTGGCTTCTATGCAGTCGAATCTGATGAACTGGAGAGTACTCGGGACTGTATAGTAGTCTACCTTGACATCAAGATATCCAGTAGAAAACCTATACAAACCTAGATCCCTTGATTTGCAACTAAAAACCCACGAATCCGTAATCTCAGCTCATCATCCCACTCCCTCCCAAAATAAAATAGCATCCATACCGACCAACAACCGGCACGTCAAAAACAGAACTTCCCCCAAGAAAAGGAGAAGCGCGAAGAAAATTCCCACGCGACGATCTCCTTCCGCCCAGGCGTTTAGCAACCCCAACCCTCGTGGATCCTGGCCGAGACCGACCGTCCCCGGCGGGGCCCGCGCGCCCAATCCCTCGGAGACATGGATGATGGAACCCAAGTGAAGACCCGTTGGCCGGTATCGAAGAACCGGAATTGCTGGAAACCTCTCTCCCTGAGAACCACCACAGAGCCACCAAATATGCCAGTTCAACTCGACTAGACCGAACATGAACCTCGAGTTCCAGACGTGGGGCTGGACCTCGCTAGCTGGGCTGGGAATCGCGCATGGTGATTGGAGCAAGACCAAGAAGAACCGTCCTGTGAAGAACACAGGGCTACACAGCCCAGGTTTACCTTGTAGTACGTCAACGAACACTGGAGTATAACCACGATGAACTGGCTGGAACCGAAGGTAAGGTTCTCTGGGGGTTACACGGCAGTCTGATAGGCTCGATTGTCCGCCGCTTGAGGATACCCGATCGAGATGGTGACGATGGCATCGAACAAAACAATGGATGGGGGGATTAGACTTGCGTTTGGCACAGAACGATTGCAGTTCCCATAGTTCGTGGGCAGAACAACCAACAACTTCCTTCAGGCTCTCGGAGTCCGAATCCGGACCTCATCGGAGATCCAGAAGGAGCCAGACCCCCGTTACTCAGCCCTTGACTTGCAACACTCACCGAATCTCCCGTAAGATTGACGGAGGCCGGGGAGATGGACTATTGGCTGAAGATTCCTTCAATCCTTCAGGTTAGTCAGGTAGTGCGTAGTCTACCTGGGTACGTACAGTGGCTAACTAACTACAGTACGGAGTACATACTGAGTAAGTCAAGTAACCTTTACCTTATTAAGTACTCCGTAGTGTGGCTGGTCAGGACCGACTCAGGAGAGGCTCCTCAGATAAGGCTAATCCAGATTAAGATCCACGATGCGTGGCCGTGGCCGTCAGTTCGTTGCCCGGACCAGCACGAGGACTTCGGCACCGCCGCACGAACTTACTTCGAATCCCACCATCGGTTGATATACTTGGTGGGCTCTATAGCTGTAGCTGTCGAGAATGGGGATTGATTGGGAAAGACGATAAGGTATGTTTTGTAGCACGACATCGTGAACCTATGCAGGCGATCCTTAGCATTGAACTCAATAATCAGCGGTGGTGTAACAAGAAGCTGCGATCAGGCCTGGGTCCATGTTTTTAGGTAGAATCACCGAGCTTGAGCTATCTTCTCTGCCAATTAGAAGCAGATTCGGCAAATAAGAGGCAAGACACGAGGTGTGGACCGTAAGTGTGGTGGAGCAAAAACATTGAGAGCAAGGGATTGTTGGGTGGTTAAAGATGAGCCCACCCGGCGAAAATATATATGTACAGGATTGGATCCGAGCACTCGCATTGACACGACATCCTTCTTCTTCTGTCCTTTCCACTTATTATTCCAGTTTCAACAACTGCCTGCCAATAGTGGCCATCTGGAAAGGCTTCTTGATTTGTTGGAATTGTGTCTGGGAAACTTGGCTTGACTGACCGATTTAGAAAGAAAGTGAATGGCTAGGCATCATGTGCTTAGATCATGAGAAATTGCAAAATATTAGAATCTCTCTCGCAGGACCTTCTCCGCATGCTGAGGAGAATGTGGTGATGCAGATCTGAACCTAGCCGACCACTCTGTTTTCTCAATAAGCAGACAACAGCCGGTCTCAATACGGTGCACTACAGAACCAAATCTATCCGTCACTGGGTATTATTCTCTAGCGCCAAAGGCAATTTACTCAATACACAGGGAGACAGATAGCAGACAGTCAAAGAAACAAAGAGTGCTGAGTAACAGCTTGGACGCCGTGAGACAGAGTTCAACCCTCTGCTCCGACAATAATCCTCAATCCATCCATCCGTCCGTCATCGCGCCAGTCTAATCAAGTCACATTGCCCACCAACAGCTGTACAGGCCGGGTCTTTGCGTCCCCGCAATCAGATACAGGGCATCGCCACGGCATTTGCATTGTAATAAGCCTGGATCATAGACCCATGAGCCGGCCCAAGCAATGTCTTCCAGAAGAAGATGTTCTCGAGAAACACACACACGCAATATCTCAACTCAAAAAAAGTCACTTGCCAAGGGGGTAGTCGCACGGAAAGCGAGGAAGAGCACAAGAGAGTAGTAGAGAAAAAAAAAAAGTACAAATGAGGGAAAGAATGTTCTCAACTGGGAATAAGTAGAAGGGGATCAACACCTGCGTAGCGGCCGTGAACTTCGTAAAGCCCCTCTGGAATTGTCAATCGGGGTTAAGGGAAAAAAAGGGTATTGCAAGAATAGAATAAGAAATTTATCAAAAGCCTAGAAGGTCTCGCCAAGATCACCAATATTGGTCTTCGGCTCATATCCGGTGCTAGTGCGGAAGCTCCGTGGTGGCGCCGGGATCCCGCTAGGCGTGCGTTTCTTGACCGTCTTCACTGAGCTGGTAGGGGTGTGGACGGGCGTAGAGAATGACGGAAAGCGTGCCTCCCGAGCCTCGCTAATCTTGGCTCGCACTGACATTCGGAACGCCAAGTCCTCATCTTCGTCAATGTTGGACATGCCGCTTGTATGGCCGTTCTGTACGGACGGGTTGCTGAGCGAAGACCGGGGGCGCCGACTTTCAGTGGTGGGATTGGTCGAATAGTGTCCCAGTGGCGTTTTAGTACGACTCTGTCGGCTTTCAGGACGTGCCGAATGAGTAGAAGGCGCAACACTGGGATGGGTGCTCTGGCTGAAGGAGCTGGAATAGCTGGTCCGGCTGCTAGGCCGACTGTCACCCTGAGTTCGAGCGCCAAATGAAGGTCGAGTGTTGTAAGATGAGGCCGTGTCGCCTTCACGCACAGACGAGCTGAAGCTGCTGCCACTGATTCGTTTACGCGCCGAGTTCTGGCGCATAGTGATCGTCGAGGAAACTGGGCTGTCACCGACAATAGATCCAGACCGCGACGAGATACGAGAAGGCGAATCAGAGGGTGCCGGGAGTTTGGACTTGGCAGAGTGAACACGCTCTTCCAACTGCTGCATCTTGCCGATCAGGCCGCGGATCTGATAAAGGGATCCCGACTTGGGCAGTGTGGTGGATCGGTCGTTGTTGATGCTGGCGGACGAGGTGGGGTCATTGGTGCTAATGCCTCCCGGCTGAAACGCGCTCGCAAATGGCAGGGTCGTTGTATTGGAACGACCGTTGTTGGAGTTGAAGGTGGAACCCCGAGACTTCTTTGGGGTCTTCTTCGAGTCATACATCGACCGGGAGCCCAGCTGAGCGCCACCACCAGCCTTCTTGAACGGGAATCCAGGAGTGGCGCTGGCAGTCTTGCGCATGCTAGTCGGGACACTGATCGACGCCTCAGACATGGGTGGCGAAGGAGGAGTGGCGGTCACAGTCATGAGAGCATTCTTGATCGGCGGTGTCTGGAACATAGGAGTAGACACAGTAGAAGCGCTGAGAGTGCGGTCGAAGATCTCGGGGGTCTGAGGTGTTGATGGAGTGCGGTAGATCAAGGACGCAGGCTTTCTGCGGCGACCACCGTTCTGTTCGTGTCGAAGCTTCTCCGAGAGAATCTCAGCCTCGACTCTCTGCTCCGACAGTTCATCACGGAGACGTTGGTTCTCAATCCGTAGGCTCTCACGCTCCATTTCGCCATTCTTGACCTCTTCCTCGAGCAAGACGCTGCGCTCGATCGCCATGTTGTACTTCTGCTCCAGATCCTCCAGGGATGAAGTGGTGTGGCGGGCCTGACGTTCATAATCATCGTTCGCGACTTCGATGTCGCGCAATTTGAGTTGTAGGGTGCGGTTGCCATCGCGCAACTTGGTAATTTCCTTCTGCAGCGTATTCTGGGCCGCGCTGGCCTCCGACTTGGCCTGCTTGTATCTGGACTGCAAGGGGTGAAAGGTTAGTGCCGATGTTCACCATCACCAGGCTGGGCCACGAGGGAGCGCCAGAAAGGTAAAAAAAGAGAAGCAGTTAGAATTCTAAAGTTGCTCACCTTCCAGTCGTCGATCTCGTATCTCAAGTTTTCCAGCCGTTCCTTCAGCTGCCGTTCTCGCTTCTCCGACGCCTCGATATCCTTTTCCAACTCGGCCTCCAGTTCGCGGCTGGAAGCCTGGAATTCCGACAGCTCAGCCTCCAGCTGTTCATATTGCGCTTTGTAGTACGCGAGCTGGTCCGACCTCGAGCTAGTGCCGTTGGGCCGGGTGGCCGAAGAATCGTCGACGGATGGCATGGTTCCCGCACCAGCAGCTGAGGCCGGCGTGAGAGACGCACGTTCCAGGAGACCACTTCAAAATGAGACTCAGATCTGCAGGGGGGGAGGTCACTCAACGGGGGGATTGTTGAGTGATTAGAATAAGATGGAAATAAAAGGCGAGAGTCGACAGCATGCAACGGGAAAGCGAAGGAACTACCGTGCGTGAACTGGTGGTGCTGGTGGAGGGGCCGGGCGGTGTCGCAGGCACTCGGGGGAGAGATTGCGACGGTGTGGGAGGCGACGGAGGGATGGAAGGGTCAAAAGGAGACGGCCCAGAAGCGAGCTGAGAGTGTCAAGATTTGAGACCAGCGCTGGCGTTGAATGAATTGACTTACCTTGGGGGACTACCCTCACAGAGGGAAGGAGGGAAGGGAGGGGGGGGGGATGGAAGAAGAAAGTGGGGTTCGAAAGAAGAAGTGGAAGGATTGTTTTCAGAGCAGATAGTTGGGTTGATGGGTGGTGATGCTATCCAGAGCCAAAGCCGGAACGGGCGCCAGATTGAATTGATGATTCCGTCCACGGGACAACAACAACTAACCGTCTTGAACCACCCAAGCAGCAACTTATCGGTAGTGACGGGTAACTTACGGGGCGGTGTCTCCAACTAAACCGGGTCTGGACTAGTTCCGGTGACGTCGTGGCCTGAGGTGAGTATATCCTGGTTGTTTGGGTTGTTTTGGGTTGTTTGGCTTGTTATCATTGTTGTTTTTATTTACGATCTTAATCTATCTGTGACCCCGTAACAACTGTCATAGCTGTATATTGATGATTGCTAGGTAATGATGCAGCTTCGTTGCATGAATGCTAAAGATGTTATCATGTTTCTATAAGAATACTGACAGTGCCGCTTGCGGAGTAGTGCTCGATCAGAAGACGCGCCCTTGATCATGTGAACGTCGTCCGACGAAACCCTGTCCGATTATTGACACCAGCACAGCTTTTGTATCCAGCAAAAGGCCACCCGATGCTAAAAATGCTAGAAATATCATCCACGTGTGTAATGTCGCGACTGCCACTCAGTCACTTCGCTGATCCATGGCAGCCTGGCCCGCACCACTAGACTTTCCGTGCCCGGGCACCGGCACCAGTCAACCCTGTCTCGATTCGGTTATCGTACCCACTGGACATAGCAGCCACAACCAGATGGGGCACCGAAGCTGGTGCCTGGGTTATAGGTCGCACAGCTACGCGGGCACTAGGCATCCTGCCGTCTTTCCGATATGTGGCCAGGTAGAACAACACGAACAAAACCAGGTACGAGCTGATCACCACGTCTCCGGTAACTGTGGCCAATACGCTGCCCACACATAAGCCATACTGAGGGAAGTATACAAAGAAAGAGCCGTAGGAAACAAAGCCTGCGGGGTCATGCTGGTCAGTACCATTGTTCTACCCGAACAGTGTTGAAGGGTACAGGACGAACCCAGCGCAATCACAAATTGGAGGATTTGGCCCCGAGTGATCCAGGCTTTCCACCAGATGCGAGTTCCTCGTGCGGCCTGGAAATAGTACCAGTACATGATGACATGGACAGCTAGGTTCAGTGTGATCACAACCCACGAGATCGCCGTAGTCCCAACCAACTGAGTATAGCATAGGAAGACGGTTGCGCCGTGATGGTAGCAATGCAGGAACGCTGGATAAGGCCAGGTCAGAGTGGACGTCTGGCGATGTGCAGTAGACGGCTATGCTCACTGAGAGGCTTCTTCATCAGAAACAAGTAGACCGTGTCCAGGAGCTCGAAGTACTTAGTCAGGTAATTCAACTGTCTCGACGCATTAGCACACCGGGAAAGATGACGAACTGGGTCGGGCATACATAATATAGTACAACCATGGGCTGGGTCCAGCCACCCTCGAGATCACAGATGGCACAGTGCAATCCGTTCCTCGCGATGCTCGGTACTATCTGTTCCAGAAAAAGTGCCAGAAGAATGGCACTGATGAGGCTGAGGAAGAAGTTGTGCAAAAGAAAAAGCCTCTTCAATTGCAATGGCTCTCGATTGCTCATGAAACTTTGTCCTCCCAAGACCACTGTATAATATAGGACAAGAACAGTTGAGGTTTCTTTCAGCGTAGAAAGAGGTGTCTTGCCTTCGATGAATCGGAAACTGTTGGCTGGATACCCTACAGCAGCCTCGAAGGCTCTGTTGAACCAGGGCCACAAATCAATGCCATAAGAGCGGTCAAGCGAAGGAATGGGCAAGGTATGAACGGAGGAGGTCGAGTCCATTCCTGCTGCTATCCTACTACCGGAGATTCGCCTCAACTCTGGCTGGGAGGGGGAAGGGCATGGAAGTTCTGAGAAGGAGATGCGACTAAGATAAAAGAACGGGGTTGCCTGAGAGAGATATAAGCGAGCAGTCTTTTTGAGTGGTGATCAAGACATGGATGCTGGCTGGCCTGTTGTGCAACAGGCAAATGACCCGATGGGGCGTGTAGTTGTTGTGATTCGAGGTTCATGTGACTTTGATGCCTTCCTAATTGAGGACCTTCTTTCCTTCTCTGGTCCAGAACTGAGCTTCAGAAGTTTCTAAGTGGCTGACAGCGTCGGAGGGTACTCTGGAGAAGACATGGTTTGTGTTCTGCTTTGAATTTGAAGACCGTTCAGTGATAGCAGCTTCCAACATCGGAGATGATATTCCGCATCGTTGCAGCACTCCATTCACCGACGAGACAGCCGAAATGTGGCGGAGTTCCGATTGATACTTGATCTTTGACAAACAGTTCCGCTCTGAGGAAGAGTGTTATTGCTGATTTGGCCGATCACTTCAAGGAGAGATAGATGCGAGGTAGAATTTGGTACACTGGTTATCAAGGAACCTTGCTCTACGCGTCTTTTGAAGTGAAGACACATTGCACTGACTTGATTTCTACAGACGACTTATCATAGCACATTGAGTATTGCAGCTACCGAACAGCTTACCTTTTTTATCAGGTCACCTTCTCTCATTACAATCATTCTCCTAACCCTACAACTGGAACCCTCTCCCTGCAATACCCTCGTTTTCTCATCTCTCTTTTCCCAACTGCATCTGTTCCGCTACGATTCAGGACTTGCCCATGTCGATTTGAGCTCAAAATGTCGCTTACTGTGGCCGAGGCAGAACGCCGCTGGCAGAACGCAGAAAAAGGTCCACTTCTTCTCCTACCGCCTCTACTCGAATACTCATTCCATGCTGTAGAGATCCATCGGACATTCAACGCAGAAGATGAGGATGAGTACGATCAACAAGAAACTGCGGTACTGCTAGAAGTGGTACAGCCCCTGGAGCCGGTGAACGCCCATGTCGTGACGACCAAGAGGAAAGATTGGCAAGACTACGTGGCGGACGACTACAACCGATGCTTTGCGGATGCTTCTATATTGTATCGTCGGGGCGTGGAAGTTGATCCTTGCACTCAATGCTCGGCCTCAGCCACGTTTCGACGCTGTGTCATCGCGCCACCGTTTCGAGGACGTGCATTGTTTGCTGCTGCGTGTGCGCATTGTATCATAGACGGCATAGGTGAACATTGCTGTTACTACAAGGCGTTCAGAGCTCAGAATGGCATAGAGTGGGGCGCACCTGTCTCGGAGTGAGTATCAGTCCCAAGTGCAGGAGTGCCGACTGACATATTCCAGGGAAGTTCGAGGGTATGGCGGCCTGCGCGAAGCAATCCAAGCTACTGGACACGACGGTCTTTGGTTTGCTCACGAAGATGCTGAGGCGGCAAACCTTCCACTAGCTGATTCATCTCTACAATATGGCCAGGATGGTGTCGTGCCAGACGAAGCGCAGAGTAACATGAAGCGCACCGACATTTCCGATCACCAATCCGGGACCATCTAGATGAATCGTGCGGTGGAACAAAAGGCGCGACGTACGCGAGGACGTTGATGTATTAGAATGAACTTTGAGGTGCCCCTCTATGCCTCTTGCTTACGTGGTTGGAAGAATTGGGATTCATCATCGAGGCTGACTGCTCATTGGCGAGATAATACACCGGTATTCTTGCAGAGTGACGATAGTGAGATCAATATAATAGATATCTGCTGCAGGAGTTTGATCGATAGATTAGTTGTTTGTGTTTGTTGTGGAGATAAGTCAGCGGTGAGTGAGCGGACCACGTGACCGGACGTGGACACACACCGTCAGTCGGCGTCCACGGTGCCTCCCACACCTTCCCTTCAGTTCAGTGTCTCTTTATATGGAGCCAGCCGTGCTCCTAACAAGGCTGCTGATACCTCCAAACCAGAAAGCCTAATTCATTCCCCCGACCTCGAAATCCCCAAAACCTGTTTTCGGCACAAGGGATAATTTTCCACGTGCGACCCCAGATTCCAGTACGTTCCCGCCGCCGCCCCCTTCTTTGCCTATTTTGTGTTGTTGTCTAGTGTGTCTTGGGCGGGTGAAGTAGTGTGTTGTGAGTGAATGAGTGTTGGGGGAGATCCCGCCCGAACATGAACACTCCCCCCCTGATAATCCACCCCTGGTTACGCTATATCCACGCACAAAACCCCTTCGGCTGCTCATCATCGTGGGGACATTCCTTCCACGCACTCGCTTCGATCGAGGAAGCGCAGTACTTCAATACTTCGATTGTTCTCATGTTCCCCGACAGCCCTTCACTACTTCTATGAGGCCATAGCCATATGAATGCTTTGGATAAGACTGATCGGCGATGCCAGACATCCACCACCACCTCACCTGTCACCATGGCAGATCCCACTGATCTGAACCTGGATGCGCCGAGCGACCTTCAAGATATCCCGGAGATGTCCATGCAATTGCTCCCGCCGCCGGAAGGAACGTATCCCGACAAGTAAGTCCATCTCCCTCCCCTCCTCTCCCCTTTCTGCTTTCTCCTCTTTCCAGCCAGCGGCAATCACTCACATTGGTGCAACCCGCCTCTCCCCAGAGCGACTTTACTGGCAGCTGTGTCGGCCCACGGCAAAGCACATGGGTACAACATCGTAGTCAAGTCGTCGAGTACGCCGACGGAAAAGAAACCGGGGCGGACTGCCAAGGTCTGGCTGCGGTGTGATCGCGGTGGCCATTACCGTCCACGGAATGGTCTCACGGAGGAGACCAGGAAGCGACGGCGGACGTCGCGGCTGATGGATTGCCCGTTCATGCTAGTTGCAGCTGGAACTCCTGGCATTTGGACGTTGACGGTGCTGAACCCCACGCACAACCACGGCCCGATTGTCGAGAAACCCCGACAGCTCCCTCACCACAAGGTCCGCAAGGGTCAGATCGCGGCGGTGCCGTACGATTGGCCGCACGATGCCACATTGACCCCCTATACCACGGCGTTAGTAATCATCGACATGCAAAAGGACTGTGCGTATATTATCTTGTCTGCTTAGTGGGTCTTTTCGGAACTAACCTATGTCTACGCGACGTAGTCTGTTCGCCGGGTGGATACATGGAGTACCAGGGCTATGACATCTCTGCGAATCAGGCGCTGATTCCGAAACTTCAGCATCTGCTGAATGCTTTTCGGGCGGCGGGGTTTCCCATCTACCACACCCGAGAAGGTGCGTACTGCAAACGAAATCCTTGTAAATCATCCCGGTCCACTGACTTTCCAATCAGGCCATCGCCCTGATCTGTCGACGCTGTCTAGCAGAGAGACCTACCGATCTCGGAATAATGCCTCCGGACTGGGGATCGGCTCGCCGGGTCCGCTGGGCCGTCTCCTGATCCGCGGGGAGGTCGGCCACGACACAGTGGACGAACTGTATCCAATCCCCGGGGAGCCTGTGATCGACAAGCCCGGGAAGGGAGCGTTCGCGCATACGGATTTCGAGCTCATTCTTCGAAACCGTGGGATCAAGAACCTGGTGATCGCCGGGGTGACGACCGACGTGTGCGTGGCGACGACCATGCGCGAGGCCAACGACCGCGGCTTTGACTGTGTGGTTCTCGAGGATGGCACGGCGGCCAGCGAGCCCTCGCTGCATGTGAGCACGATCGAGTCGGTGAAGATGGAGGGGGGGATCTTTGGGGCGGTCACCAAGCTGGAGGATGTAGTGCATGCGGTGGAGAACTTCAAGGCTGTGACTGTGAAGAAGCTGGCTCCGCAGATGGCCGTTTAGCTTTGCTTCTTGAGCCGATGTTCTGGACTTCATTTGATGGTTTTCTTGAGACTCAGCTGAGTTCGGATTTAGAGGAGTTGTTTGGGTACTTAGTATGATTGCTAGCAATAACGACGAATACGACCATGATTTACGATGCACAGCGGTCATCGATTGAAGTCACTGTAAGCAGAGAAAATAGAAAGGTATACATGGCAAACAGCCCTGGTATCATCAAGCAGAAAGCAACAAAACCAACGCCAACACCAGTACCCTACACCCTCACCCAACACATCTAATCCCTCCACCTCTATCACCTCTTGACCCAACCCCAGTTTCCCCTCCCCTTTCCCCCACGTTTCCCTTAACCCC